CCCCAAAACCCCAAAACCCCAAAACCCCAAAACCCCAAAACCCCAAATCTCAACCTAAAAATTGAATAAAATTAAAGAAAATGTTCAATTCATACATCCTTGAAAGAAACAGACAGAAAGAAAATGAAAAGCAGAGGTATACTTTAGACCTCAGAAAGACCCAGAAACGAAACTATCTAGCTAATCGTTACAGGTAAGACCAAGAGTATTCAGGCTTAATTTTATATAGAGGAAGAGTTCTTGATTTTATGAATAAAATGGCTAAGAAGACGAAATTCGTTAATGAAAGTGCCCATGAACTCTCCAGATCAGTCTATACAAGTGTCAATATCCGGAAATAGAAGTAATCTAAATACTTTTTTGTCAAAATTAATGAGTTTAGGGTCAAGTCAAGTTTCCAAAAGTGTTGATTACAATGACTTTATCACTGAGCCAGGTGACAGCAATGCTTTCAACCTCAGGCCAAGAGAGAAAACAAAGGAAATTGCAGGCGATTTTAATAAGAATTTTAGTGGGAAATAACTCACTACAAAGAGTGTAAGCAACCAAGCTGATTTCTAGGTACGATATCGCTAGAGAAAACTCAATGAAAGCTAATTTTGAAAATTTTCTTGAAAAGGATTCATCAAAAATTAAATCAGGAAGAGAGATTCTTCCTGAGTTACATGATAAAACTCATTTTAAAGGAGCTTCAACACTACTAACCTATGACAATGAGATTAATGATATTAAGAGTAATGCCATGTTGATATCAAAATTTGAATCAGTGAAGAAGTCAATCTCAGGATCTCCCTTTTACAAAGCTAATTCGAGAAGTATTGACCAGAGAAGAGACAAACTTAGCTGATATAATTCTCATAATAATGACTCAAATCATAATAACAAATCTAAAGTTAACTTAATTGTTAAAGTGGCTGGAAGGAATTTAAAAGATGAAAATTTTGGAAATACCAAATCACAGCCAAAAGGATTAAATCTTAATATATCTCAATCCAACATCTCTGATTACGGGTTTCAGTGAGGAGGGATTACTTCTCCAAATACTTTAAAAAGAAAGAAGCCTACTTTACCAAGAGCTAATTTTCACCAAAAAGCAATAAAGAAATTTTCAAGTGAGATATTTAACCGAAATAAGCAGCAAAGTAGAGCTAGCATTTCAAGGAAGTTACAAGACTCAACTATCGGAGATCATGATGATTCAGTATCTCTTGATATACCCTTAATTACAAAGCAGGTTCTTTCCCAGTGAGGAATCGTTAAATGAATGCCTTAACTTTCCACAGACCAATATAAAATAACCTTATTTCAAAAAATTTAAAGCAACTGGGGTTTTGGGGTTTTGGGGTTTTGGGGTTTTGGGG